ATAGGCTCACTTTCCATTACAAATTAATATCTGATCCTTTTATAGGCTCACTTTCCAGTATCATTATGCTTGGAGGTGTTGGTTTATTGCTCGACCACACTGAACGTATGCTTTATGTGTGAATATAAATTATGTATTGCAGTTTGTAGAACAATATAAACAAATAACTTTACAATCCAGTTGCCAGGAATGTCCAAGAAGCTATATTTGTTTTGGTGTGGTGCATGTCAGTTATCTTTAAAACTGTCATCAACCATTTACAAAATTTACTGTTACTTCTAATTCATTTGATTTATATATTCTACTAGAAAATCTCGAAGTTTTGGGATATAAAACTATGAGGTAGGGATTTCTGTTTTTCATGTGGTTATGGTTTTGCTTATCGTTGATTTATTATCCCTTCAATCATTTAGTTTATATGTGAATTTTTAGTTACATTAAAATGCCAACACACCTTATGTATGTATTATGAACCTGACACCAGCTTCCCTAGCGGTGACATACATATACTATTAATGTTGCAAAAGTTCATGTAAATTTATAATCACGTGAGATGTACTCTCGTTAATCATGTTGCAAAAACTTTATGATCACATGAAATTTACTCTCGTGACCTAACGAAGTGAATAAATACCCTTCATAAACCGAGTGACTAATTATTAGTGAAAACGAATTATGTACTCTCGTTAATCATGTTGCAAAAACTTTATGATCACATGAAATTTACTCTCGTGACCTAACGAAGTGAATAAATACCCTTCATAAACCGAGTGACTAGTTATTAGTGAAAACGAATTATTGCTGTTTGACATTCGATATTGTTATTAATATCGAAAAGTGTTTTTCGAATATTGTTTGTGTCTTTTTTTTTTGAATTAGTTTTTCTTCTTCTGCCTCTTTTCCCTGATTTCATTATGTGAAATACTTAATATTGATAATTATGTTTTATTGTTCAATAACATTAGTTTCAAGTCCTGGCCAGGCACGTATTTATTAACTATGTTTTTAGAAAGTGCTAAATTTTATTCCAAGTGTTGTTACAGTTTAGATTACTAATTTTGTTGTTGTTGAACCCTGGTTGTAGCGGCGATTTGTTTTAGTCGTTACAAAAGAAGCTGTCTAAAACTCTTCCACTTACTATGTACGTTCATGGCTGTAAATATAAACGGCAAAGATTAAAACTGTAGCTCAGCGGTAACAATGATGGCTTATAACACTAGAAATCGTGTTTCGATACTCGCGGTGTGTTCAGCACATATAGTACTTTGTGTAACTGTGTGTGTGTAACAACAAATAAGTCTATATAAGATTAGGACTCGTCGCCAAACAAGCTCACCCTTTCAGCCGAAAGGATGTTGTAACGTGTCAGTCAATCCCACTAATCATTTTAAAAGAGTAGTCCAACAGTTAGCGGTGAGTGGTGTTGACTAGTTACCTTCCCCCTAGTATATTACTTCTAAATTACGAACGGCTGGAATAGCTTTGCGCAAAATACAACAAATAAACAATAAAATGAGAAATACACTTACATTATTTAATTTCATTGACTTCAAGGAAATACATCATAAATATTAAAACTTGTATTTTTAAAAAACAAAGTGTTTTACCCTTTGGCTTCAGCTTCGATTTTTTTTTTTTTCAAATCTGCCTGTGAAGTAAGAATAAATTAAAAATAGAACTCTGGGACGATTCAAAGATAGCATTAAATAATGATTTAATTTCACAATTAAAAGTTTGTAACAGGAATTTACTTTATACATCTATTAATTTACTGAAAGTCAGTCACACTTTATCAGAGAGTGCACTAGCACTGTTGAAGCTATAAAGTCAGTCATAACTTTATCAGAGAGTGCACTAGCACTGTTGAAGCTATAAAGTCAGTCACACTTTATCAGAGAGCGCACTAGCACTGTTGAAGCTATAAAGTCAGTCACACTTTATCAGAGAGTGCACTAGCACTGTTGAAGCAATACAAAAGTCATGTTGATTTTCTTCTCTGTTCGTCATCAGAAGCTGGATATGAAGCGCTGCCTGGCATAGTCGTTTTATCTCCCGTGTATATGACGACTTTAAGTTATCCAGAGCGTCCCAAAGTCGAAACATTGGCGAATAGCCAAAATCCAGATCTCATATTTTCGTTCATAATCATCTTTCTTCAACAGACTTAGTGCCTATCCAGTTCTAGTAGTAACTATAATTTTATCATCTTTCGACGGAGCAAAACAGTCTTCACGATATTTGACTTCTTATTTTGATATTATTCTATGCAAAATTCAAAAATAAATCATAATTTTAGTGTCAACGATGTTATTACCCCTTGAAGTTAGCTTTCTTACAGAAAAACAGTGTTCCTTTAAAAAACTTAAGAACGGTGAAACAGGAATTACCAGCCAATAACAGATAAACATAAGGTGACTGTAACATGTAGAGAACCCAATGTTTTGTACACTAGACAATCGGTGTCTTTAGGGAGCTAACCCTTATATTATGTATGAAGTGAATGAGTAAAGCTTCATATATTTCAATTTAGGAGCTTGGAATATCAATGTTTGTAATCCTTCATGTATTTCAAGTCCTTGTTTGTTATTCCTTGTCGACAGCAGGAGGTGTGCCCAGTTTCATCGTAACAGCTTTTCAGGTCGAAGAATTCTCTTTCATGACTATAACTTTCATTTTCGAAAGAGTTAATTACCTAGAATTGGTATGGTGAATGGTTTCGGAACTTGTTGCTACCTTACATGCTCTGTTGTACGTGTTTTCCTACTTCCGTGAATAGAGAACATGAAGTTTTCCTTCTTCGAAATGTTAGTTCCTTTGCTCTACATCGTTTAGCTATCTCACTATATGAATATCATGTCTTCTGAAAGGCTGAAACAGTCACAAGTTTAGCTGTCGAATGGTCAGGAATTTGTCATGAACCAGATATAGAGTTGCTGAAATGTTACCTGTGGCACCTCAGTTCTCACGTGTCATAAACCACAGTAGTATCATATGCAGTGTTCAAATAAAGTGCGACTATCCCCTGTTCCATAAATCTTTTACAACGTCAAAAATTGAATATTTCTAACTGAGAAACGCACGTGTTGGTCCTCGTGTTTTAACAAGGTAGTAAGTGAAAGTGTTTTAATTCGTTGAATGTAAAAACATGTGTGTTTGCAATAGTCCGGTGCAGTTAATAACTGTTGTCACACTGAGGAAATCCACAACTTTTAAGGAGTAGATCTTACAAAGACAACCACCTAGACAGACAAGAAAAAAGATAATACATTTAAACAATGGTCATGTCCCTATAAATAAACAAATAGAAACAGTTCATCACAATCATAACATTCTCTTTCTATCTTCATGGGCAGGCGATTAGGGCGCTCCACTCGCAGTTTGAGGGTCGTGGGTTTGAATCCCCGTTCCACCAAACATGCTCGCCTTTTCAGCCGTTGGGGCATTATAATGTGACGGTCAATCCCATTGTTCGTTGGTAAAAGCGTAGCCCAAGAGTTGGCGGTGGGTGGTGATAACTAGCTGCCTTTCTTCTAGTCTCTCACTGCTAATTAGGGACGGATAGCGCAGATAACCCTCGTGTAGCTTTGCGCGAAATTCAAACCAGTCTTTCTATCCTTTTTTTTTTTTGTCCCCTAGTGGCTTAGCAGTAAGTCTGTTGGTTATACCGCTAGAAACCGGGTTTCGATACTCGTGGTAGCCAAAGAACAGATAGACATCGTGTAGCTTTGTGCTTGAGAAATATTTCAACATTTTACAAGGAAAATACTCTCACAGTGCCCCAAAAACTTTCTCCAAAAACTAACACTTCCCGAGTTTGCCCTCTAATCACACATGATTTTTTTTTTTTTTTTATTTGTTATAACTTAGTATTAATTACAATGTTTCTTAATCCAGATGGTTCGTGTAGTTTATATAAAACGTACGGA